TGGATGGAGGTGTTTAAGATGCCCAAGAGGCTCAAAGGTTTTTATCCTGCAGCTCAGGCGGCTGGAGGCAGGGAATTAAACTGTGAGTCAGGGGTGAGCAGCAAGCAGAGCCGAGAGCGGTACGGTCCTCGGGCCCTGAGAACCTGGAAACGAGCCAGCGCCAAGGGATGGATGGGGCTCATCATCCCATTGCTCTTGGGTATCATCGTGCGCTGGTCCTTCTCTCCCACGCACGACCCCACTACCAGAGCCTTCCTTCCACCCGCCCACCCTCGCTAAGCAGCGTGCTTGTAGAAGGGTTTCTTTTCCTTAAGCCTGTATTTATCAAAGCATCTACTGGGGGCACTCACCAGGCAAAAGCAGCCACCGGCACATGGTCAAACACAGGGGCTCAGCACCCGAATGGAGGGAGATCAATCTCACTCCTGGCAGGCACCGAGGAGAACGCAAACCTCGGGTAAACGCAAGCAATAATCCCCTTTGCAGAGGGATGCTCTAGCTGGGGGATTTGCATTCACTGAGCTGTTTAGCCTCCGTTTTAGGTTTGAGCTCTGAGTGAATGCAAATGTCTTTAAATAAAGACAAAGCAGAAAGGCTGCTGGGTATCAGGCAAGCATTTAAATATCACAAAGCCTCACCTCGCTCCACACACAGCTCCAGTCGTTGGCACATCAAGCGGGTGAATTCAAGAGTGCAGAAATAGACCTGTAAATACATGGAGATTCTGCTTTTGCAGTAGCTCATTTTCAAAGCACATCTACTTCTTAGCCTGCCTTTGGGGTCACGCTCCACCTCACAGCCCTCACCCCGCTTTCCAAAACAAGTCGTTTCAGCTTGTTAGCTTTCGTCTACAAGTGAAGCATAAAATACAAGTAAACCCCTAACATTTAGTGTTGTCACCACTTTCATCTTGCCGCTACTTACTATCACAAATTAGGTACATATCCAAAAATGTCTAAATTGTCTTAATGTAGGATATTCCTGGGATCAAAACGCAATGAGGCAAACTGGAATAGACCTGAGGCCCTCCACTCCTCTTGTAAAAGATGGATTTATGATCTTTACTGACAGGTCTTGTTGTACATCTTGATTTTTCATCTTACCTCAGGCAGTCCAGCATCCCTCCCCTACTTCATGCTTCGCCACCAGCTCATTTTTGACTTGTGAGAATACCGTTTCTCATGATTTCTTGAGCGTTGCAGGAGATGGCCGTTCTTTAAATGTTTCCCATCCGAGTACCAGTCTGAAGCATCGGTGCCCACCTTGTGAAATAGCACTTGCATTCAAAGGACAAGCGTTAGTCAAAGCAGGGACACCAAAACTTTCCCGTGCCCCCCATAGCGTAGATCCAAGCTCTGCTGCCAGACTTCCCTCTAACCGGTGCCGCGGGCATCCTCCTCACCTCGGTAAGCCGCCTTCTTGTGCAGCAACCTTAGCTAGCCCAAATAAAACTGGAGGAGCCCCAAGAAATTACCCATTTAAACAACAGTTGACCATTAGCCTTAGACCTTCTGGAGGCTCACATTTTAATGA